CACATAACTCATTATTTTATTATGTTTTATTTATTATTTGTAGAAGGGAAATATAAATAATCAATTTAAACATAATACCAATTTTATTATGTTTTATTTTTATTATTTTGTAGAAGGGCAATATAAAAAATATAACATAATTATTTTATTATGTTTTATTTTTTATTATTTGTGTAGAAGGCATAATAAATAAAATAATAATCATGTTTTTTATGTTTTATTTTTATTATTTAGTAGAAGGGAAATAATAAAATAATACAATTGAAACCTAATACCAATTATTTTATTATGTTTTTTATTTTTTATTTTGTAGAAGGAAATAATAAATAAAATAAATAACATCATTGTTTTATTATGTTTTATTTTATTATTTGGTAGAAGGGAAATAATAAAATAATACAATTTAAACATAATAACAATTATTTTATTATGTTTATTTTTATTATTTATAGAAGGGAAATAATAAAATTAAAAAAATAACCATCATTGTTTTATCATGTTTTTTTTATTATTATAGAAGGGAATAAAAAATAATACAATTGAAACATAATAACAATTATTTTATTATGTTTTATTTTTATTATTTGTCGAAGGGAAATAATAAATAATAAAAATAAAACATAGCAATTATTTATTATGTTTTTTTTCCCTTCTACGTGACTTTAAGCCGAAAGAACCAAGAAGATGAATCCCTGCAGTCACGAAAGAAAGCTTTAAATCGAAATAAAAAGTTTAGTTTCGTTGTCGGGTTGGTGGCTTCCTTTAACACGGCTTTTGTCTCCCAAGTTTTGGGAAAAAATTTGGGTCAGTTCGCTGATGTTCTAGAGGGCAAGTCCCTTATATCAAAACACATTTTATTGAAGATTTATTCATGTTCGTGATACTCATCTGTACACCCCGGCGAGCTGGAGCGCTTAAACAGTTGGAAAGTTTCTCAAAAGCAATATGTGTAAACGTGTACAATGTACATCTACTCATGTTCTTGGTTTCTTTCGGTAAAGTCACTTAGAAGGAAATAATAAAATAATAAAAATAAACATAAAATCATTCTCACTGCTTTTGTTTATGTCACGGATGCGGTACGAGACAGTCATTTTAACAACACAGTCATTCTTGGAAAGAAGATGAAATCCCTGATTTAAATCGAAATATGATGTACATCTCGTGCAGTGCTCTTATGAACGATGCACTTGCCTTAATTGTGTGAAAAATGTTGTTCGTAGCTCAAGCAACGACCAGTGAACAGCATCAACCTTCGCAGAGCGCGCTGCCGCCTGATGGGCGAAAGGCGAGACCACACACTTGTCACATTGAAACATGTCCACACACACGCATCGTTATTTCAGATTAACAACACAGTCATTCTGGGGAAATACTAATTTATTTTCTTGGTTCTTTCGGTAAAGTCATCACGTAGAAGGGAAATAATAAAATAATAAAAATGAAACATAAAATAATTCTCACGACGTTTCGGCCACAACGCAAGCAGCCGTCCTCAGGTGAAGAACAGGTCTGTCGGAAAGACAGAGTCTGAATGAACACCACCAAGCTTGGCAGCGTATATTAAGCTGCTGGGTTGGAGGGGAAGGGCGCCTTGACAAAGGAATCTGCATATCAACAGAGGAATTTAGCTTAAATCAACAGAGGAATTTAGCTTAAATCAACAGAGGAATTTAGCTTAAATCAACAGAGGAATTCAGCTTAAATCAACAGAGGAATGCAGCTTAATATACGCTGCCAATCTTGGTGGTGTTCATTCAGACGCTGTCCTTTCCGACAGACCTTTCTTCACCTGAGGACGGCTGCTTGCGTTGTGGCCGAAACGTCGTGAGAATTGTATTTATTATGTTTTATTTTTATTATTTTATTATTTCCCTTCTACGCGACTTTACCGAAAGAACCAAGAAGATGAATCCCTGCAGTCACGAAAGAAGCTTTAAATCGAAATTTAATACTAATTTATTTAGTTTCATGATGCAATGGTCAGCAGGTTGTTATCTCCAGGCGTGGCAGGTTTAATAGGCACATGTCTAAAATGTGCCACCTCTGTCTACTCTGCAGTATGTATTGGTACAGCACAGTGACATGGCAGGCTGCATGAGGTGGGGTAAAGTGTGGGTACTGCCGTCTCTTCCAAGACGTCTGGGCGGAGTGGAAGAGTCAGCCTCTACTGAGGTTCTAGATTTGAAGCTTTCGTGACTGCAAGGATTCATACTCTTGGTTCTTTCGGTAAAGTCACCATGTAGGTAAACAATGAAATTAAAATTAATAAAAATAAAACAATATTTTTATTAATTTTAAAGTCATGTAGGTAAAAAATGAAATTAAAATTAATAAAAATAAAACAATATTTTTATTAATTTTAAAGTCATGTAGGTAAAAATGAAATTAAAATTAATAAAAATAAAACAATATTTTTATTAATTTTCAAGTCAAGTAGGAAAACAATGAAATAAAATTTCAGTTTAACACGTAGCAGGCTTTCGCGACCAATGTTATTCATAATCAACGTTTTTGGGTTTAGATCGCCGCGTTATTTATAAATGTGTCGTAACCCTCCACCACCCGACACGGCCAATCAGTAAAAATGTGTCACGTTGACAAAGACAAATAGTTACCTGCTTTAGCCCACCGGTGTGTTGAAGCCACAACATTTACAATTTGAGTACGACGTTTCGCTGGTAATTGCAACCAGCATCATCGGGCAATTCGCCAGAATGGTGAGGAGGCTCTGCTGTCTCCCGTTCTTATATAATGTTTTTATTAATTTTAAAGTCACGTAGGTTAAAAATGAAATTAAAATTAATAAAAATAAAATAATATTTTATTAATTTTAAAGTCACGTAGGTAACAATTGAAATTAAAATTTATAAAAATAAAACAATATTTTTATTAATTTTAATGAAATAAAAATTAATAAAAATAAAACATCTTTTTATAAATTTTAAAGTCAGGTAGGTAAAAATGAAATTAAATTTAATAAAAATAAAACAATATTTTTATAAATTTTAAAGTCAGGTAGGTAAACAATGAAATTAAAATTAATAAAAATAAAACAATCTTTTTATTAATTTTAAAGGCACGTAGGTAAAACAATGAAATTAAATTAATAAAAATAAAACAATCTTTTTATTAATTTAAAGGCACGTAGGTAAAATTTTTTTTTTTTTTATTAATTTTAAAGTCATGTAGGTAAAAAATGAAAGTAAAATTAATAAAAATACAAAATATTTGTATTAATTTTAAAGTCACGTAGGTAGAAAATGAAATTAAAATTAATAAAAATAAAACAATATTTTTATTTATTTTTAAGTCACGTCGGTAAAAAATGAAATAAAAATTAATAAAAATAAAACAATATTTTTATTTATTTTAATTTAATTTTTATTAATAAAAATAAAACAATATTTTTATTAATTTAAAGTCATGTTTTACCTACTTGGTGACTTTACCGAAAGAACTACGAGTATCTTCTGAGGTTGTCTCGAGCTCCTCTGTAGTGGAGGTCCTTCTCTGCCCGCAGCTGGCACGAGCAAGGATGTTGCCGAATCTGCACCCTTTGCCTCTCTTATGTTCACATGCACTTGGTGGTGGTTGTGGTGGGGTGGTGTTGTGGTGGTGGTGGTGGTGTTGTGGTGGTGGTGGTGGGGTTGTGGTTGTGGTGGTGTGGTGGTGGTGGTGTGGTGGTGGTGGTTGTGGTGGTTGGTGGTTGGTGGTTGGTGGTTTTTGTGGTGGTGGTTGTGGTGGTGTGGTTGGTGGTTGTTGTGGTGGTGGTGGTTGTGGTGTTGGTGGTGTGGTTGGTGGTGGTTGGTTTGGTGGTTGTGTGTGGTGTTGTGGTGGTGTGTGGTGGTGGTTGTGGTGGTGGTGGTGGTGGTGTGGTGGTGGTGGGTTGTGGGTGGTTGGTGGGGTTGTGGTGTGTGGTGGTTGGGTGGTGGTTGTGATGGTGGTTGGTGTTGGTGGTTGTGGTGGTGTGGTGGTGGTGGTTCGGTGTGGTGGTGGTGGTGGTTGTGGTGGTTGTGGTGGTGGTGGTGGTTGTGGTGGTGGTGGTTGTGGTGGTTGTGGTTGTGGTGGTGGTGGTGGTTGTGGTGGTGGTTGTGGTGGTGGTGGTTGTGGTGGTGGTGGTTGTGGTGGTGGTTGTGGTGGTGGTGGTTGTGGTGGTTGTGGTGGTGGTTGTGGTGGTGGTGGTTGTGGTGGTGGTGGTGGTTGTGGGTTGTGGTGGTGGTGGTGGTTGTGGTGGTTGTGGTGGTGGTGGTGGTTGTGGTGGTGGTGGTTGTGGTGGTTGTGGTTGTGGTGGTGGTGGTGGTTGTGGTGGTGGTTGTGGTGGTGGTGGTTGTGGTGGTGGTGGTTGTGGTGGTGGTTGTGGTGGTGGTGGTTGTGGTGGTTGTGGTGGTGGTTGTGGTGGTGGTGGTTGTGGTGGTGGTGGTGGTTGTGGTGGTTGTGGTGGTGGTGGTGGTTGTGGTGGTTGTGGTGGTGGTTGTGGTGGTTGGTGGTGGTGGTGGTGGTGTTGGTTGTGGTGGTGTGGTGGTTGTGGTGGTTGTGGTGGTGGTTGTAGTGGTTATGTTGGTGGTTGTGGTGGTGGTTGTGGTGGTGGTGGTTGTGGTGTGGTGGTTGTGGTGGTGGTGGTGGTGGTGGTGGTTGTGGTGGTGGTGGTGTTGGTGGTTGTGGTGGTGGTGGTGGTGGTGGTTGTGGTGGTGGTGGTGGTGGTGGTTGTGGTGGTGGTGGTTGTGGTGGTGGTTGTGGTGGTTGTTGGAAAGTGAATCAAAAACTAGTGTTTGTGCTACATACATATGACTTGGTCGAATTTTCGGTTGAAGCGGAGTAATAGTCGGTGTAACACGTAGCAGGCTTGCGCGACCAACTATATTCACGATCAAGGTGTTTTGTGTTAGATCGCGTGAGTATGAATGTGTAACCTGTTGCGCATGAACTCTCCAACACACCGGTGGGCTGAAGTAACGAATTAACTGACGCGTTTTGTTTACGTGACAAACCTTCCTGGTGGTGGAGGGTTACGGCACTCGATACTTAAGCGAGCTACCCCAGAAACCTTTGTCACGAATAATCAATCATCGGCAGCAGAAAATCTTGCTTTGTTCACGATACTACGGACTTGGAAAGCTGTTGACACACGCTCCTTGTGTCACGCGTCGTGTTTTGTTTTCTTTCAAAGATTCAAGATCACCTGACGGAAATGTTCAACTCTATGCACTGTCAATTGTTCAAGTTGAACATTTGTAACGTCAGAGTTGACTGTGATGTCGACAAAAAGGAGACTACGATGAGAGTTGCCCAGGAGACAATCGACGCTTTGCAGACCTCAACTCGAGAGAAACAGGTAAGTACCAGCGGCAGCGCTGCTCATTGACGCGTTTCTATTTCACTCACTCTGTCCGTTGTTGTCGTGTCCTCAAATCTTGCAAACTCAATTTTAACCAACTTATAGTAATAGGTTGTTACCCTTTCGACTGGTACAAAAGCTGACACCTTTATACAAGGGACCATGTTTGCAATAACCACAACACAAGCAGTCAAAATGCAAACAGAAATAAACAACTCTGATGATGATAATGATATACACTGTCCTTGAAGTTGATTGGTCCACACCCGAGACAGCTTTCCTTAGAGCCTAGTCTCCATTGGTGTTGGACCAGATGACGCCACAAGGCGTACAACTCAAAGACAGCGCACTATCAGAGTATTGAGAGCTCGGGGTGAAGCATTTACAGAGACATCTCCTTTACCAGTGGCAAAATATAGTGATAGGTTTTTACCCTTTCAACTGGTACAAAAACTGACACCTTTATACAAGGCATCATGTTTGCAATAACCACAACACAAACAGTGAAAATGCAAACATAAAATAAACAACTCTGATACGCCTTTTGGCGTCATCTGGTCCAACACCAGTGGAGACTAGGGTCTAAGAAAAGCTGTCGCGGGTGTGGACCAATCAACTTCAAGGACAGTGCATATCATCAGAGTTATGTTTTTTGTTTGCATTATGACTGCAGGTATTGTGGTCTATGCAAACATGACTCCTTGTAGAAAAGGTGTCAGTTTTGTTGCCAGATAGAAGGGTAAAAAACCAATTATATATTTTTACTGGCAAATGAGGTTCCAATGGTGTAAATGCTTCACCCCGAGCTCTCAAACTCTGATGGTGCATTGTCTTTGAGTTGTACGCCTTTTGGCGTCATCTGGTCCAACACCATGTGAGACTAGGCTCTAAGGAAAGCTGTCTCGGGTGTGGACCAATCAACTTCAAGGACAGTGCATATCATCATCAGAGTTGTTTCTTTTACTGGTAGGAACGAAGTGAACCAGCCTACAATAGATTATATCGTCCGTCCATCTGTCCGTCTGATGTTCGATTCGGTGTAGCAACATCGCCCCCTACTGCAAACACTTGGCAGGACCCTACAAAAACCTTTAGACTCAGGCTTTCCTGGCTAAACAAGTGTAACAATACATTATGTTTATATTCTTTGGTTATTCGTTCCTACCAGCCCACCCCGCAGGGTCCTGTTTTGTTTGCATTTTGACTGCTTGTGTTGCGGTTATTGCAAACATGATGCCTTGTATAAAGGTGTCAGTTTTGTACCAGTTGAAAGGGTAAAAACCTACTACTATATGTTGCCACTGCTAAAGTAGATGTCTCATAGTTTAAATGCTTCACCCCGAGCTCTCAATTCTCTGATGGTGCATTGTATTTGAATTGTGCGCCTTGTGGCATCATCTGGTCCAACACCAATGGAGACTAGGCTCTAAGGAAAGCTGTCTCGGGTGTGGACCAATCAACTTCAAGGACAGAGCATATCATTATCATCATCAGAGTTGTTTCTTTTTGTTTGCATTTTGACTGCTTGTGTTGCGGTTATTGCAAACGTGATGCCTTGTATAAAGGTGTCAGTTTTTGTACCAGTTGAAAGGGTAAAAACCTATCACTATATGTTGCCACTGCTAAAGGAGATGTCTCATAGTTTAACCAACTTCCCAATGTTGTATCGACTGCACACTTGGTATACGTGTGTCAGACTGATGACAATACTATATCATAAAAAAAAAAAAATATTTTTAAACAATATTTTTTACACGCTGTGTTTCGGCTTGGGTCTAATTGTCCGCTGCTCAACTCACGCGGGGCGTAAATCACTTCCTGGAGTCGTGGAGTTCTGCCATTACCCGTACCGTACATTTTATTAAAGCGTGTTTTAAAAAAAGTATATTAAACACGTTCCTTCGGAGTGGGCAGGTAGGAACCTGGTTGGACAGCGCATTCGTGCACGACAGACAAATATGCACGACAGACAGACAAATAATCCCTGGTGGGCAGCAGTGTGGAACCTGTTGTTGCTACCTGTATGAGTGTAGTGTGTCGTGCCGTGTATAGTGTAGTGAGTAGCTTAAACGTTGAGTTTTATAAGGACACCACGGGGTGACCAGCCCATCCCCACCCCTCCCACCCCCCACCCAGCCCCTCCCCACCCAGCCCCACCCCTCCCACCCCCCACCCAGCCCCTCCCCTCCCTCCCCTCCCCACCCTCCCCTCCCCACCCTCCCCTCTCCACCCAGCCCCACCCCTCCCACCCCCCACCCAGCCCCTCCCCTCCCTCCCCGCAAAAAATATAATAAAACTAAAACATAATAAAATAATTCTCACGACGTTTCGGCCACAACGCAAGCAGCCGTCTTCAGGTGAAGAACAGGTCTGTCGTTCAGACGCTGTCTTTCCGACAGGTCTGTGTCACCTCAGCGAAGTGTGTGTTTTGTTGTTTCCTTGCAGCTTGAAAAGGAACAACTCGCCGTTCAACTCAAAGACGCGACTAACAGCACACAAGAATTAACGGCGGAGTAAGAACGTTTTTACTTTCCTTGAATTGTATCTTTGTCTTCTGTTTAGGTTCCTCGACTGACGTCGGTGCAACACACAATTGCGTTCGCGAAGGGAGCGCGAGGTCGCGCGTCACAATCTACCATTGCATCGAGTGTTAACACGATCACAAAAAGTGTTGTGTCTAAAAAAACAAACTGGTGTAGCAATAGGGGTTTTCCACTTTTCTGGCAACAAAACTGAAACCTTTTTACGACGATTCATGTCACTGCATTAGCCACAATACTTTCGGTCAAAATGCAAACAAAAAACACGCCGTGATAATATTATGCATTGTCCTTGAAACTGATTGGTCCACTCCTGAGACAGCTTTCTTTAGAGCCTAGTCTCAATTGGTGCTAGAACAGATGACGCCAAAAGGCGTACAGCTCAAAGACATTTCGATTTAAAGCTTCTTTCGTGACTGCAGGGATTCATTTTCTTGGTTCTTTCGGTAAAGTCACGTAGAAGGGAAGTAATAAAATAATAAAACATAATTAAAGTCGCTCTTCCCCCCTCCAACCCAGCTTAAATATACGCTGCCAAGCCTGGTGGTGTTCATTCAGACGCTGTCTTTCCGACAGACCTGTTCTTCACCTGAGGACGGCTGCTTGCGTTGTGGCCCAAACGTCGTTAGAATTATTCTATTATGTTTTATTTTAATGTTTTATTTTAATGAAATAATAAAAATACAACATAATAAAATATTATGTTTTATTTGTATTATTGTATTACTTCCCTTATTACTTAAAATAATAAAAATAAAACATAATAAAATATTGTTATGTTTTATTTTTATTATTTTATTACTTCCCTTATTACTTAAAATAATAAAAATAATAAAATATTATTATGTTTTATTTTTATTATTTTATTACTTCCCTTATTACTTAAAATAATAAAAATAGAAATATTTTATTATGTTTTATTTTTATTATTTTATTACTTCCCTTATTACTTAAAATAATAAAAATAAAAATATTTTATTAAGTTTTATTTTTATTATTTTATTACTTCCCTTCTACGTGACTTTACCGAAAGAACCAAGAAGCTCAAAGACAAAGCCGCTATCAAAGTAATGAGGGCTCAGGGTGAGCATCTACATCATTAGACCTCCTTTGCCAGTACCAAAATATTATAATAATAATAGGGTTATTCCCTATTATCATTATTATATTTTGGTACTGGCAAATGATGGAAAAAAAACTGGTGGCGTATTTTACTTGGGATGTTGGCTATCAACAACAAGGCAACTCCTACGACTAATTGGGAATGGGACGCAAGCGTAGGATTGATCGCCCTGTCGCTGGCCGCCTTTGGGGAGGGTGTATCGTGTGAAAGGCCGAAACACCCTAGGAACCAAAGGTTCACTGCTGACGATGCGCTCCCCAAATGTCACCAGGCTCACTGTTCGTGAACTCTTGGAAGTGCTTGCACAAAGGATAGTAACATCTCATCCTGTGTTCTTTGGAATCTGGCACGACTATCAAATCACCAAGTACGCACGTACGAGCGAATGGCGCGCGCCGTGCTACTTCGCAGCCGCCAGTTATGCAAGCGATACATTTAGTCTGAAGCAACGCGTACGGTGGATATTTGTCTACGGAGGATTTCTGACCTCCGTCCTTGCAATGTGCCTGTGTCCGTAAGAATCACCGCCACCAGGGAAATGTGCGACGGTCTGCAGGTCCAATTCTCTTCGGCGCAACAAACACTAACGAAAGGTGCGTTCTCAACATCTGCCGACCGTTGAACGTTAACGGTGTAACGTTGAGCGATCAAACTTTTTTGCCGTTGACTTATTCGGGCCATGTCCGCGTGCTGATGTCGACAGCTGAAGCAAATCAGGAAGAAATGAAAGAATTCCGTTTGTCAGTGAAAGCAGAAATGAAGGTAAATGTATAATAACATTTTTAAAATGTTGTTTTCATGTAATTATATTTCTTGAAAAACGTATAATAGTATACACGTATACACATGCATATTTAATATTAATGCTTTAAATCCTGGTGTCATCTTCTTTTAAAGACATTTGCAGTGACTTTGAGTGATTTAAATTCAAAGTTTCAAAATGACAAGAACATCGCGTTGGCCAAAGGTAAGCCTTGTTGCAGGATGACACGATGCAGAGCTCGGTAATAACACGGTCGTGTTCAATACATAGAGCACAGCAATCATCGACTTGTTCTTGGTTCTTTCGGTAAAGTCACGTAGAAGGGAAATAATAAAATGATAGCTGTCTTCCCAACAGACCTGTTCTTCACCTGAGGACGGCTGCTTGCGTTGTGGCCGTAACGTCGTGAGAATTATTGTATTGTGTTTTATTTGTATTATTTTATTATTTCCCTTCTACGTGACTTTACCGAAAGAACCAAGAAGATGAATCCCTGACAGTCACGAAAGCTTTACATCGAAATTTTAAGCCACAACCGTCGTTGATAATCATCGGCAGTGCTCTATCCACTGCTAGATGAAGCCGTCATCCCTCGAGGCCTTGAGAAGCAACACACTCTCTTGCTGCTGCTGCTGTTGCTGCTGCTGCTACTGCTGCTACTGCTGCTACTGCTGCTGCTGTTGCTGCTGCTGCTGCTGCTGCTACTGCTGCTACTGCTGCTGCTGTTGCTGCTGCTGCTGCTGCTACTGCTGCTGCTGCTGTTGCTGCTGCTGCTACTGCTGCTGCTGCTGTTGTTGCTGCGTCACGTAGAATGGAAATAATAAAATAATGAAAATGAAACATAATAAAATAATTCTCACGACGTTTCAGCCACAACGCAAGCAGCCGTCCTCAGGTGAAGACCAGGTCTGTCGGGGAGACAGCGTCTGAATTGTGGCTTGCTGGGTGAATATCGATGCGCTCAACTCGTTTGTTTTGCACGCGACGCGTGTTGCGTGTAGTGGAAGCAGCCGTGCAGGAGATGGGAAGAGCTCAGGAGGACTTCACAAACAAGTCGGCGATTATAGAAAGCCAGGTGGGTGTGAATTTGTGAGCTAATCGCTTTTGCTCATATTCAGGGGCGGTTTCTTCATTAGGGCGATTGGGCGACGCACCACCAATGTCATTCAACCACAGAGTCACGCTAGCCGTCACTGTCAGACTCTGGATATAGTCCAATCAGCGTCATGTCACGTTCTGTGGAGTACCGCCTCTTTTGGGGCGATTTCACTCCGGCTGAGAATCGCCCCGAGTGTTCCCATAGACTTACATTCAAAGATGTTTGTTTTTTCGAACGGCGGGCGCTGCAAAGCATTCTCTACGGCTTCCGGGAGGGCTCGCCCTAACGTGCTCACGTCATCATACGTAAGCACGTTTCAGTCAGCAGTATTATTTGTCGCCACCTAGTGGAATCTTTAATAAAATAAACTTGAGTGGTTTGTTTTAATAGTGAGTATAGAAACAAACAAGATGTATTGTAAGAGTCACTTTATTTGTCATTAATATTAAAGAAGTGAAGTTGCCTTTACATGCTTAAGCTGTTAATTTATCCATTGCATGGGTGGAGCTTATCCTTATCAATCATCCACACATTTGCCCCCCCTGAGAGATTGTGCAGGAGCCGCCACTGCTCACATTTTAAATGCTTAAAAAGTGAAATTTTAAATGCTTAAAATGTCACTTATTTCCACTTTAAAACGTATTCAGTGCCCTAAATGCATTTGTTCAACACAATATATGGGATTCATCTTCTGGGTTCTTTCGGTAAAGTCACGTAGAAGGGAAGTAATAAAAAAATAGTCAGACGCTGTCGCCTCGACAGACCTGGTTTTCACCTGAGGACGGCTACTTGCGTTGTGGCCGAAACGTCGTGAGAATAATTTTATTTTTTATTTGTATTATTTTATTACTTCCCTTCTACGTGACTTTACCGAAAGAACCAAGAAGATGAATCCCTGCAGTCACGAAAAAAGCTTTAAATCGAAATTTATGGGATGTACACATTTTCACCTCTTTATCTTGATTTTTGAAAGTTATTTTCATTCCGGTAAACAAAACTTATTTGAATTAAATGATGACTTGCAAAACAGAAAACTTGCCTTGCCCGGCAGTAGGTCATTTCATAGATTCGTGTATCTTGATTTTTGAAAGTTATTTTCATTCCGGTAAACAAAACTTATTTGAATTCAATGAAGACTTGCAAACCAGAAAACTTGCCTTGCCCGGCAGTAGGTCATTTCATAGATTCGTGTATACGGTCGTTTTGTTGAGTAGTTATCACATCAGAGCTGCCTTTCATTTTTAGGTCAAAGAAAAATCAGAGCTTTTAGAGTCAAAAAATGAAGAACTCAAAACGACCTCTCAAAAGCTGCAAGATTCCATTGAAAACTGTGTTGGACTCGAAGAAATAACGGGTGAGAGTGAGAGTCCATTCAAGTTGTGTGCTTTTGCCAACAGCCTGGGTACGTGTGTGTGTGCTAGGAAAATATCTTGCACATCTGACCGTTAAAGGTGATCCCAATTTGAGTTGTTTTTAAATCCTTTATATTAAGTTTGCGTGCTTGCGTGCTTGCTTGCTTACGACCGTGCAAATCTTTCGGTCGTTTTTTAACCCACTTCCCGTGATCCAATCGAGCTGACATTTTGCACACAGACTCGTTGTGCGAGACAATTAATGTTCGTGAAAATTTGTTTCCAAAATTTTACACTGTTTAGGGAATTTTTTTAAAAATATTTAATTACCAATTGCTTAATGCTGGCACACAATCATCTGACCCATAGGTGGCAGCCATCTCAAGCCAGAGGACGAGAGGACTCGAGCCGCCACGCATATAAAGGATTTAGAGTGAAACACTTTGTTTTTACGGGTTAATTTTTTGTGTCTTTCGCAGGCGACTTTCAATCACGACTTGAGGAAACACAGGAAGGAATCAAAACCCTCAAGTTGGAAATAAATCGACGTCACGAATTTGAAAGCGGACTGCGGGTGACACGTCCATTCATATTGACGCGGCAAAACCTTGGACTGCGAGTAACTTGGTCTTCTTGGTTCTTTCGGTAAAGTCGTCACGTAGAATGGAAATAATAAAATAAAAAAGTAAAACATTGAGTCACGTAGAAGGGAAATAATAAAATAATAAAAATAAAACATTAAGTCACGTAGAAGGGAAATAATAAAATAATAAAAATAAAACATTGAGTCGCGTAGAAGGGAAATAATAAAATAATAAAAATAAAACATTGAGCCGCGTAAAAGGGAAATAATAAAATAATAAAAATAAAACATTAAGTCACGTAGAAGGGAAATAATAAAATAATAAAAATAAAACATTGGGCCGCGTAGAAGGGAAATAATAAAATAATAAAAATAAAACATTAAGCCGCGTAGAAGGGAAGTAATAAAATAATAAAAATTAAACATAATAAAATTATTCTCACGACGTTTCGGCCACAACGCAAGCAGCCGTCCTCAGGTGAAGAACAGGTCTGTCGGGAAGACAGCGTCTGAATGAATTTCAGACGCTGTCTTCTCGAATGAATTTCAGACGCTGTCTTCTCGAATGAATTTCAGACGCTGTCTTCTCGAATGAATTTCAGACGCTGTCTTCTCGAATGAATTTCAGACGCTGTCTTCTCGAATGAATTTCAGACGCTGTCTTCTCGAATGAATTTCAGACGCTGTCTTCTCGAATGAATTTCAGACGCTGTCTTCTCGAATGAATTTCAGACGCTGTCTTCTCGAATGAATTTCAGACGCTGTCTTCTCGAATGAATTTCAGACGCTGTCTTCTGGAATGAATTTCACACGCTGTCTTCTCGAATGAATTTCAGACGCTGTCTTCTCGAATGAATTTCAGACGCTGTCTTCTCGAATGAATTTCAGACGCTGTCTTCTCGAATGAATTTCAGACGCTGTCTTCTCGAATGAATTTCAGACGCTGTCTTCTCGAATGAATTTCAGACGCTGTCTTCTCGAATGAATTTCAGACGCTGTCTTCTCGAATGAATTTCAGACGCTGTCTTCTCGAATGAATTTCAGACGCTGTCTTCTCGAATGAATTTCAGACGCTGTCTTCTCGAATGAATTTCAGACGCTGTCTTCTCGAATGAATTTCAGACGCTGTCTTCTCGAATGAATTTCAGACGCTGTCTTCTCGAATGAATTTCAGACGCTGTCTTCTCGAATGAATTTCAGACGCTGTCTTCTCGAATGAATTTCAGACGCTGTCTTCTCGAATGAATTTCAGACGCTGTCTTCTCGAATGAATTTCAGACGCTGTCTTCTCGAATGAATTTCAGACGCTGTCTTCTCGAATGAATTCCAGACGCTGTCTTCTCGAATGAATTTCAGACGCTGTCTTCTCGAATGAATTTCAGACGCTGTCTTCTCGAATGAATTTCAGACGCTGTCTTCTCGAATGAATTTCAGACGCTGTCTTCTCGAATGAATTTCAGACGCTGTCTTCTCGAATGAATTTCAGACGCTGTCTTCTCGAATGAATTTCAGACGCTGTCTTCTCGAATGAATTTCAGACGCTGTCTTCTCGAATGAATTTCAGACGCTGTCTTCTCGAATGAATTTCAGACGCTGTCTTCTCGAATGAATTTCAGACGCTGTCTTCTCGAATGAATTTCAGACGCTGTCTTCTCGAATGAATTTCAGACGCTGTCTTCTCGAATGAATTTCAGACGCTGTCTTCTCGAATGAATTTCAGACGCTGTCTTCTCGAATGAATTTCAGACGCTGTCTTCCCGACAGAACTGTTCTCCACCTGAGGACGGCTGCTTGCGTTGTGGCCGAAACGTCGTGAGAATGAGTTTATTAGATTTTTATTATTTTATTATTTCCATTCTACGCGACTTTACCGAAAGAACCAAGAAGATGAATCCCTGCTGCAGTCACGAAAGCTTTAAATCTAAAAATATTAATTTGATAAACGAGCGAGGAGGGGTCTTGCAATACGAGTAGTACGCGTAGTGTACGCTTTGTCTGCCGAGCGTCACGTGATCGCAGCTGATGTACGAGTGCTTTGGATTGCAAACACGTCTACGGGACGAATTATGCTCGCAATCCAACGTTTGACTGTATAGTTAATATTGTCTGCATATTTATTTCTGTATAGTTTTTTACGGGATCATATTCTTAGGTGTTTTCGGTAAAGTCACTGTGTAGGTAAAACATCAAAATTAATAAAATAATAAAATAAAAATAAAGATCACGACGTTTCGGAGGCAACACGAGTCTCCAGCACAAGTCTCCGTTGCCTCCGAAACGTCGTGATTTTTATTTTATTATTTTATTAATTTTGATGTTTTACCTACACGGTGACTTTACCGAAAACACCTAAGAATATGATTCCTTGCAGTCACGAAAGCTTCAAGTCTAGAATTTTTTACGGGATGCTTTTCTCTTGCCTTCTTTTGGCAAATCTCAGCTTTGCGCTGTATCTGAAAAATGTAGCGGGTCACCCGCCTGCCCCGTTGATTTAATCATCGTAGAACTTTCAGAAACACTGATGACCAAACGGATGTTCTTGCCTTCCTGCTGTAGGCCGAGATACAAAACACGGAGAGAAGTTATGCGGAGAAGGAGCGAGAGCACGCCGCGCGCGCGACAGAGCTGCGGCGATCGTGTGACGGGCTGCACCACAAACTTTTGGACCTGAAAGTTATTTTTCTCAACCGAAAGAAGGAAAATCACGAGTTGACACAAGCAGCCTGCCAGAGGCAAGTGGTGAACTTTGACAGCGCAGCAAGTAGGCTGCTGAGATGCTGTTGCCACATCTGCATTCCCGAGAACATCTGACTGTGTTTGTATCTGCAAAGCAAAACAAATGCGGTCTCTTTTGTTCACCGATGCACTTTTCTGCATCGTTTAATCTGGCCTCTGACGCACGTCACGAACTCGACGTTCGCGTGACGATTATCTGAACCGGTCCTGGGCCTCCCCTAGGTCGACTCAGCCTCAAATGAGTACCTGGTGCGGTGTGTAAACATCGCTACTGGGGAGACAAAGGCGGTCGGGCGTGGTGCTGGCCACCCACCCCCTCGTGTGCCGTGCCGGTAGCCTTCATAGGTGCTTGCGAACAGCACTTGCCCCTACGGTCTGTTGAGGCTAAACGGGGGATCTTCGTGTTGCACTGAGAGTGTGCTGCATTGCCGATACATTTTTAAAACAATTAAATGAGGCTGACGTCTTGTTACGTTTCTTTCAGGTGCAGCGATGAAGCAGAGATTCGTCGCAGGTTTGAAGCGAATATTCGTGAAATAAGCACAGAAATCGGTAGGCAACGTTTTGCAAGCGTGAATGTCCATTGCGAGTTTATTATCGCATGTGCGACATTATTGAATTTTCGTTCGTCCTTCTGATTTTCAGGCTTGCTTGCCGTGTCATCGCACTCGCAGAACCTTGTTTTTGGACCACTCATTGACATGCAAATGTTTTCTCTAACCCCCCCCCCTCCCTCTCTCTGCCTCCTCCCCCCTCTGTCTATTTAAGGCCACCCCACAGAGATGATCACCCCTCTCTGGTTCCTGTGTTGCTCCCTCTATGTATCTTGGTGATATCTGTCTGCTAATATGTCTGTCTATAGTTTTCTGGTTAGATTCTATGTCGCTATTTCATTATACCTGATGATGATTGCTTGTGTTGCAATCGAAACGTCGTATGCTATTATTTAATTATATTATTTTATCTTTAGACGTGACTTAACCGAAAGAAGCAAATAATCATTTACTGCAGTCACGAAAGTTCTAAAATTAAGATTTCTCTCATCGGGTGTACATTATTAACGTCTGCTTGATATATTTTCATCGCGTCCAACATGTATTGATATTCTTTTATTAATACGATCAATCGATTATTGTTCCTAGATAATGTGACGATTGAAAGTGACGGTAACCATGCGGAGCACAAGGTCGCGCTGGTGAGTTACATTTTCACGTCGCTTTCACAACATCAGCCACGAGGGTGGACAATGTTCAACGCTACAATTGGAAGTCCATAAGTTTAATTTGGAGTATATTCTTAGGTTTTTCGGTAAAGTCACGTAGGTAAAACATCCCCAGCCCCCCCCTCCCTCCCGATACGTTCCATTCATTGGCTACCACATTCTGATGAGCTCCCCCCCCCCCTCTCCTCCCCCCCTTCAACTTGCTTATAAGGGATTACATCTTGAATCATTGCTTCACTTGATGCAGCTAATCCGGCTGTGACGGTCCCACCTGATTACGGAGACTTGTGTTGCCTCCGAAACGTCGTGATTTTTTTTTTATTTTATTTTATTAATTTTGATGTTTTACCTACACGGTGACTTTACCGAAAAAACCTAAGAATATGAATCATTTCAGTCACGAAAGCTTCAAGTCTAGAATGTAATTTGGAGCTTTCGTGACTTGCAGGAATTACTCTTTGGTTCTTTCGGAAAAGTCACGTTTAAAGATAGAATAATAAATTAAGTAATAGCATACGACGACGTTTCTGTTGCAACACAAGCAATCATCGTCAGCTATAAATGATCAAAATTAATTAAAATAAAATAAAATAAAGATCACGACGTTTCGAAACGTCGTGATCTTTATTTTATTTTTATTAATTTTGATGTTTTACCTACACGGTGACTTTACCGAAAAAACCTAAGAATATGAATCATTGCAGTCACGAAAGCTTCAAATCTAGAATTATGGTATAAATGAAATAGCAACAAAAATCTAACCAGAAAACTGTAGACAGACATATAAGCAGACAGATATCACCAAGATACACAGAGAGAGAGCAACACAGAGACACACACAGAGAGAGACACACAACATAGACACACAGACAGACATATAAGCAGACAGACATCACAGAGATACACAGAGAGAGAGCAACACAGAGACACACACAGAGAGAGACACACAACATAGACACACAGACAGACATATAAGCAGACAGACATCACAGAGATACACAGAGAGAGAGCAACACAGAGACACACACAGAGAGAGACACACAACATAGACACACAGACAGACATATAAGCAGACAGACATCACCAAGATACACAGAGAGAGAGCAACACAGAGACACACACAGAGAGAGACACACAACATAGACACACAGACAGACATATAAGCAGACAGACATCACAGAGATACACACAGAGAGAGCAACACAGAGACACACACAGAGAGAGACACACAACATAGACACACAGACAGACATATAAGCAGACAGACATCACAGAGATACACAGAGAGAGAGCAACACAGAGACACACACAGAGAGAGACACACAACATAGACACACAGACAGACATATAAGCAGACAGACATCACAGAGATACACAGAGAGAGAGAGCAACACAGAGACACACACAGAGAGAGACACACAACATAGACACACAGACAGACATATAAGCAGACAGACATCACAGAGATACACAGAGAGAGAGCAACACAGAGACACACACAGAGAGAGACACACAACATAGACACACAGACAGACATATAAGCAGACAGATATCACCAAGATCCACAGAGAGAGAGAAAACACATTGGCACAAAGGTTATTTAAATTTAGTGTGTCTCTCTCCCTTTCTCCTAATGTTCAAGCTTGCGTACCGTACCACACGTCACCCTACTCATTGACTTGCTAATTTTTTCTCTGCCCCCTCCCTCTCTCCGCCCCCGTCCCCCCCCCTCTCTCTATTTAAGGCCTCGTCACAGAGACGATCTCTCTCTCTGTGTGCCGATAATAAAAATAAGGAATCAAAACCCGTTTGCGACCTCTGCCGCACAGTCCCTGGGTTGCGTCGCAAAGTTTGCTTGGCAAGGCGTTTGACGTTTAGCTCCCGGCAAGCTCCGGGTAGCACGGGGAGGGGGGAGAAACGGAACGTTCAGGCGACATCCGAGAGCGCTCCGGCCATCGTGTGCAATAAATACGTTGGGGGTATCGTAGGAGGGGTGTTGATCTCGTGCCGTGTCTTGTGTGAAGGAATCTTTGGACAGGTTCGAACAAGAGAGAGCTTCATTCCAAGAAACCACCCGTCAGCTGGAACAGCAGATGGCCGCCACGAGAACGCTGATGAACGAAAGCGAGGTACGATAATTGGTTGTTTACCCTTCTATCTGGCAACAAAACTGACACCTTTTTTACGAGGAGTCATGTTTGCATAGACCACAATACCTGCAGTCATAATACAAAAAAAAAACATAATTCTGATAATGTATGTGCACTGTCCTTGAAGTTGATTGGTCCACACCCGAGACAGCTTTCCTTAGAGCCTAGTCTCACATGGTGTTGGACCAGATGACGCCAAAAGGCGCACAACTCAAAGACAACGCACCATCAGAGTATGAGAGCTCGGGGTGAGCATTTACACCATTGGAACCTCATTTGCCAGTAAAAAATATGATAATTGTTTTTTTTACCCTTTTATCTGGCAACAAAAAAAGGTGTCAGTTTTGTTGCCAGATAAAAGGGTAAAAAAACAATTATCATATATTTTTTACTGGCAAATGAGGTTCCAATGGTGAAAGCAAGGTATTTGAAATGTTTCTTAAATCTATCGTAAAATTAACCTGTGCTACATTTCCCCGTTAAGTTGTTGGCGAACGCGCGTTAGAATTGTGCTCTTTTGTGCGCGGAAACGTGCCGTTCGCGTCAATCCTGGCGTGACGTCTTGGGTGTCGTTCGATTTCAGAGTGAACTCAACGGAATGAAAGCAAAAGATTGTGCCTTGAAGAATGACCTTAAAGACGCCTTGAAGGCAGTGAAGCTTCTGGAATCAGAACTGTGTCAACAGAGGTGAATGGTGGAGCTTCATTTCTAAGATCATTCGGGCTTTTGGGCACCCCTCTATCATTCGCCCTCTCTCCATTTGTATTACTGCCACTACTCGCTGTTATTATTACACACTGTTATTATTACACGCTGTTATTATTACACGCTGTTATTATTACACGCTGTTATTACTACACGCTGTTATTATTACACGCTGTTATTATTACTCGCTGTTATTATTACACGCTGTTATTATTACACGCTGTTATTATTACACACTGTTATTATTACACGCTGTTATTATTACTCGCTGTTATTATTACACGCTGTTATTATTACACGCTGTTATTATTACACGCTGTTATTATTACACGCTGTTATTATTACTCGCTGTTATTATTACACGCTGTTATTATTACACGCTGTTATTATTACACACTGTTATTATTACACGCTGTTATTATTACACACTGTTATTATTACACGCTGTTATTATTACTCGCTGTTATTATTACACGCTGTTATTATTACACGCTGTTATTATTACACGCTGTTATTATTACACGCTGTTATTATTACTCGCTGTTATTATTACACGCTGTTATTATTACACACTGTTATTATTACACACTGTTATTATTACACGCTGTTATTATTACACGCTGTTATTATTACACGCTGTTATTATTACACGCTGTTATTATTACACGCTGTTATTATTACACGCTGTTATTATTACACGCTGTTATTATTACTCGCTGTTATTATTACACGCTGTTATTATTACACGCTGTTATTATTACTCGCTGTTATTATTACACGCTGTTATTACTACACGCTGTTATTATTACTCGCTGTTATTATTACACGCTGTTATTATTACACGTTGTTATTATTACACGTTGTTATTATTACACGCTGTTATTATTACACGCTGTTATTATTACACGCTGTTATTATTACTCGCTGTTATTATTACACGCTGTTATTATTACTCGCTGTTATTATTACACGTTGTTATTATTACACGCTGTTATTATTACACGCTGTTATTATTACTCGCTGTTATTATTACTCGCTGTTATTATTACACGCTGTTATTATTACACGCTGTTATTATTACACGCTGTTATTATTACACGCTGTTATTATTACTCGCTGTTATTATTACACGCTGTTATTATTACACGCTGTTATTATTACTCGCTGTTATTATTACACGCTGTTATTATTACACGCTGTTATTATTACACGCTGTTATTATTACACGCTGTTATTATTACTCGTTGTTATTATTACACGCTGTTATTATTACACGCTGTTATTATTACACACTGTTATTATTACACGCTGTTATTATTACACGCTGTTATTATTACACGCTGTTATTATTACTCGCTGTTATTATTACACGCTGTTATTATTACACGCTGTTATTATTACTCGCTGTTATTATTACACGCTGTTATTATTACACGCTGTTATTATTACACGCTGTTATTATTACACGCTGTTATTATTACTCGTTGTTATTATTACACGCTGTTATTATTACACGCTGTTATTATTACACGCTGTTATTATTACCGCTGTATTATTACACGCTGTTATTATTACACGCTGTTATTATTACACGCTGTTATTATTACTCGCTGTTATTATTACACACTGTTATTATTACACGCTGTTATTATTACACGCTGTTATTATTACACGCTGTTATTATTACACGCTGTTATTATTACACACTGTTATTATTACACGCTGCTATTATTACACGCTGTTATTATTACTCGCTGTTATTATTACACGCTGTTATTATTACTCGCTGTTATTATTACACGTTGTTATTATTACTTGCTGTTATTATTACTCGTTGTTATTATTACACGCTGTTATTATTACACGCTGTTATTATTACTCGCTGTTATTATTACTCGTTGTTATTATTACACGCTGTTATTATTACACGCTGTTATTATTACACGCTGTTATTATTACACGCTGTTATTATTACTCGTTGTTATTATTACACGCTGTTATTATTTTATTACACGCTGTTATTATTACACGCTGTTATTATTACACGCTGTTATTATTACACGCTGTTATTATTACTCGCTGTTATTATTACACGCTGTTATTATTACACGCTGTTATTATTACACGCTGTTATTATTACACGCTGTTATTATTACACGCTGTTATTATTACTCGCTGTTATTATTACACGCTGTTATTATTACACGCTGTTATTATTACTCGCTGTTATTATTACACGCTGTTATTATTACACGCTGTTATTATTACACGCTGTTATTATTACACACTGTTATTATTACACGCTGTTATTATTACTCGCTGTTATTATTACACGCTGTTATTATTACACGCTGTTATTATTACACGCTGTTATTATTACACGCTGTTATTATTACACGCTGTTATTATTACTCGCTGTTATTATTACACGCTGTTATTATTACACGCTGTTATTATTACTCGCTGTTATTATTACACGCTGTTATTATTACACGCTGTTATTATTACACGCTGTTATTATTACACACTGTTATTATTACACGCTGCTATTATTACACGCTGTTATTATTACTCGCTGTTATTATTACACGCTGTTATTATTACTCGCTGTTATTATTACACGTTGTTATTATTACTCGCTGTTATTATTACTCGTTGTTATTATTACACGCTGTTATTATTACACGCTGTTATTATTACTCGCTGTTATTATTACTCGTTGTTATTATTACACGCTGTTATTATTACACGCTGTTATTATTACACGCTGTTATTATTACACGCTGTTATTATTACTCGTTGTTATTATTACACGCTGTTATTATTACACGCTTTTATTATTACACGTTGTTATTATTACACGTTGTTATTATTACACGTTGTTATTATTACTCGCTGTTATTATTACACGCTGTTATTATTACACGCTGTTATTATTACACGTTGTTATTATTACACGCTGTTATTATTACTCGCTGTTATTATTACTCGCTGTTATTATTACACGCTGTTATTATTACACGCTGTTATTATTACTCGCTGTTATTATTACACGCTGTTATTATTACACGCTGTTATTATTACTCGCTGTTATTATTACACGCTGTTATTATTACACGCTGTTATTATTACACGCTGTTATTATTACTCGCTGTTATTATTACACGCTGTTATTATTACTCGCTGTTATTTAACTCACTCCGTCTCTTGTCGTATCCTCAAAAAATCTTGTAACTCAATTTTGACCAACTTCCCAATGTGCCATCGACTGCGAACTTGGTATACTGATGCTCTTGGTTTTTTCGGTAAAGTCACGTAGGTAAAACATGTAATTAAAAATTCATAAAAATAAAATAATAAGAATAATTTCATTTTTAACCTACTTGACTTTACCGAAAAAACTAAGAGTATGAATCCTTGCAGTCACGAAAGCTTAAAATCTAGAATGGTATACTTGTGTCATACTCATGACAAGATTATATTCTATCATTAAAAATCATTTTTTTAAATATTTTTAAACATGTTACACGCTGTTATTTAACTCACTCTGTCTGTCGTCGCATCCTCAAAAAATCTTGTAACTCAATTTTACCAACTTCCCAATGTGCCATCGACTACGAACTTGGTATACTGATGCTCTTGGTTTTTTCGGTAAAGTCACGTAGGTAAAACATTTAATTAAAAATTCATAAAAATAAAATAATAAGAATAATTTCATTTTTAACCTACGTGACTTTACCGAAACAACTAAGAAGTATGAATCCTTGCAGTCACGAAAGCTTAAAATCTAGAATGGTATACTTGTCATACTCATGACAAGATTATATTCTATCATAAAAATATTTTTTTATATATTTTTAAACATGTTACACGCTGTTATTTAACTCACTCTGTCTGTTGTCGCATCCTCAAAAAATCTTGTAACTCAATTTTGACCAACTTCCCAATGTGCCATCGACTGCGGACTTGGTATACTTGTGTCATACTGATGACAACACGATATTCTATCATTAAAAATACAATTATTTTTTTACATTTTTAAACATGTTACACGCTGTTATTTAACTCACTCTGTCTGTTGTCGCATCCTCAAAAAATCTTGTAACTCAATTTTACCAACTTCCCAATGTGCCATCGACTACGAACTTGGTATACTGATGCTCTTGGTTTTTTCGGTAAAGTCACGTAGGTAAAACATTTAATTAAAAATTCATAAAAATAAAATAATAATAATAATTTCATTTTTAACCTACGTGACTTTACCGAAAAATCTAAGTGTATGAATCCTTGCAGTCACGAAAGCTTCAAATCTAGAATGGTATACTTGTCATACTCATGACAAGATTATAATCTATCATTAAAAATCTTTTTTTTATATATTTTAAAACATGTTACACGCTGTTATTTAACTCACTCTGTCTGTTGTCGCATCCTCAACAAATCTTGTAACTCAATTTTTACCAACTTCCCAATGTGCCATCGACTGCGAACTTGGTATACTTATGTCATACTGATGACAACACGATATTCTATCATTAAAAATACAATTATTTTTAAAATATATTTTTAAACATGTTACACGCTGTTATTTAACTCACTCTGTCTGTTGTCGCATCCTCAAAAAATCTTGTAACTCAATTTTGACCAACTTCCCAATGTGCCATCGACTACGAACTTGGTATACTTGTGTCATACTGATGACAACACAATATTCTATCATTAAAAATACAATTATTTTAAAATATATTTTTAAACATTTTACACACTTTTATTTAACTCACTCTGTCTGTTGTCGTATCCTCAAATCTTGTAACTCTATTTCAACCGTCTTCCCAATGTGCTATCGACTGCGAACTTGGTATACTTGTGTCATACTGATGACAACACGATATTCTATCATTAAAAATACAATTATTTTTTTTATATATTTAAACATTTTACACGCTGTTATTTAACTCACTCTGTCTGTTGTCGTATCCTCAAATCTTGTAACTCTATTTCAACCGTCTTCCCAATGTCCTATCGACTGCGAACTCGGTATAGGTGTGTCACGCTGATGACAACACTATATTCTATCTTTAGAAATAAATAAAATCTTTTTAAACAATCTTTTTTACGGGTCTAATTGTCCACGCTCAACTCACGTTGCCTGTAAATCACCGCGCTGCCTTACGTCACGGCAAGCTGCGGGGCCACTTCCTGGAGTCGTGGAGTTCTGCCTTCACCAGTACGGGACATTTCATGAAAGCGTGTCTTTTTTTAAAAGTATTTTTAAATGTTACTTATTTTTGTTACCAAATAAATATCGATGTGTATTTGTGTTAGCTTCATTGACACTGGGCCAAGGTTTATGGTGCATCTTACATTCCACAGCATCGTATAATCCAGAGAATACGCTGCACTCTCTTGGATTTACACAACTGTTGCTTTTTTTAAATCCTTTACATTAAGTTCGCTTGCTTGCTTGCTTACGACCGTGCAAATCTTTCGGTCGTTTTTTAACCCACTTCCCGTGATCCAATCGAGCTGACATTTTGCACACAGACTCGTTGTGCGTGACAATTAATGTTCGTGAAATTTATCTTCAAAATTTTACACTTTTTAGGACAAAAATATTATATTTAATTACCAATTGCTTAATGGTAGCAGACAATCATCTGACCCATAGGTGGCAGCCATCTCAAGCCAGAGGACGAGAGGACTCTAGCCGCCACGCATATAAAGGATTTATAGTGAAAAACTTTGTTTTTACGGGTTACACTTATTAAATCCTTTATATTAAGTTCGCTTGCTTGCTTACGACCGTGCAAATCTTTCGGTTGTTTTTTAACCCACTTCCCGTGATCCAATCGAGCTGACATTTTGCACACAGACTCGTTGTCCGTGACAATTAATGTTCGTGAAAAAAAATCCAAAATTTTACACTTTTAAGGACAAAATTATTATATTTAATTACCAATTGCTTAATGGTGCAATGCAATCATCTGACCCATAGGTGGCAGCCATCTCAAGCCAGAGGACGAGAGGACTCTAGCCGCCACGCATATAAAGGATTTATAGTGAAAAACTTTGTTTTTACGGGTTATACTTATTAAATCCTTTATATTAAGTTCGCTTGCTTGCTTACGACCGTGCAAATCTTTCGGTCGTTTTTTAACCCACTTCCCGTGATCCAATCGAGCTGACATTTTGCACACAGACTCGTTGTCCGTGACAATTAATGTTCGTGAAAAAAAAATTCCAAAATTTTACACTTTTAAGGACAAAATTATTATATTTAATTACCAATTGCTTAATGGTGCAATGCAATCATCTGACCCATAGGTGGCAGCCATCTCAAGCCAGAGGACGAGAGGACTCTAGCCGCCACGCATATAAAGGATTTAGAGTGAAAAACTTTGTTTTTACGGGTTATACTTATTAAATCCTTTATATTAAGTTTGCTTGCTTGCTTACGACCATGCAAATCTTTCGGTCGTTTTTTAACCCACTTCCCGTGATCCAATCGAGCTGACATTTTGCACACAGACTCGTTGTGCGTGACAATTAATGTTCGTGAAAAAAAAATTCCAAAATTTTACACTTTTAAGGACAAAATTATTATATTTAATTACCAATTGCTTAATGGTGCAATGCAATCATCTGACCCATAGGTGGCAGCCATCTCAAGCCAGAGGAAGAGAGAGGACTCTAGCCGATGCCACGCATATAAAGGATTTATAGTGAAAAACTTTGTTTTTACGGGTTATACTTGTTCTGGAGCTAAGTAACCACGTGTGAAATAGTCGTGTCTTTACAATCTTTCCTTTTTAACAGAACATGCAACCTTGACATCAGCAACAAGATTGGGACGCCGCTTTTGGAGAACGAGGAGCTGACTGGACTGTTCAATCACATGACGAGTCAAAGAGATGAACTTAACAACATCATTGAGGTGAAGATTTGTATTGAAAGCTTTCGTGACCGCAGGGATTCATCTTATCGGTTCTTTCGGTAAAGTCACGTAGAAGGGAAGTAATAAAATAATAGCAATAACATATATTATTATATTATTTTAATTTATTATATTATAATATTATTATTTCAATATATTATAATATTTTATTATATTGTTTTATTACATTATTATATTATTATATTATTTTAAATTATTCTAATTTATTATATTAATATATCATTATTTTATTATATTATTACCATATTATTTTATTATTTTACTTTAATTTATAATATTATTATATTATTTTATTATGTTTTATTTTTATTATTTTATTATCTCCCTTCTACATGACTTTACCGAAATATGTTTCGATTTAAAGCTTCTTTCGTGACTGCAGGGATTCATCTTCTTGGTTCTTTCGGTAAAGTCACGTAGAAGGGAAATAATAAAATAATAACAATAACATATTATATTATTTTAGTTTATTATATTATATTATTATTTCAATATATCATATTATTTTATTATATTGGTTTATTATATTATTATAATATTTTATTATTATATTATTATATTATTTTATATTCTAATTTATTATATTAATATACCATTATTTTATTATTTTATTTTATTATATTATTTTATTCTTTTATTTTATTATGTTTTATTTTTATTATTTTATTATCTCCCTTCTACGTGGTGACTTTACCGAACGAACCAAGAAGAAGATGAATATCTCTTTGGTTCTTTACCGAAAGAACCAAAGAGTAATCCCTGCAGTCACGAGAGCTCCGAATTAAGAATATGTATATATCGTTGAGGTATTCTGGCTCAGACGCACCTACGTTTCACATCTGTATTGGACATTTCAACTGCAAAACTGTTTTTCAAAACGACCTCTGCTCTTGTTTGCAGGCAACAAAACGCAACGAAGATTCGCTGCAGTTATATTATTTTAATTTATTATATTATAATATTATTATTTCAATATATTATATTATTTTATTATATTGTTTTATTACATTATTATATTATATTATTATATCATTTTAAATTATTCTAATTTATTATATTAATATATCATTATTTTATTAAATTATTACCATATTATTTTATTATTTTACTTAAATTTATAATATTATTATATTATTTTATTATGTTTTATTTTTATTATTTTATTATCTCCCTTCTACATGACTTTACCGAACGAACCAAGACTATGTATATCTCTTTGGTTCTTTACCAAAAGAACCAAAGAGTAATCCCTGCAGTCACGAGAGCTCCGAATTAAGAATATGTATATATCGTTGAGGTATTCTGGCTCAGACGCACCGACAATTCACATCTGTATTGGACATTTCAACTGCAAAACTGTTTTTCAAAACGACCTCTGCTCTTGTTTCCAGGCAACAAAACGCAACGAAGATTCGCTGCAGTTCAAAGTTCACGAGTTGGAATCGAAGAATAGAAACCGACAGTAAGTTGTTCCCGCCTATTTTTAAATCCTTTATATTAAGTTCGCTTGCTTGCGTGCTTGATTGCTTAGGACCGTGCAAATCTTTCGGTCGTTTTTTAACCCACTTCCCGTGATCCAATCGAGCTGACATTTTGCACACAGACTCGTTGTGCCAGACAATTAATGTTCGTGAAAATTTTTTTCCAAAATGTTACACTGTTTAGGGAAAACAAATTAAATATTTAATTACCAATTGCTTAATACTGGCAGACAATCATCTGACCCATAGGTGGCAGCCATCTCAAGCCAGAGGACGAGAGGACTCTAGCCGCCACGCATATAAAGGATTTAGAGTGAAAAACTTTGTTTTTACGGGTTATACTTATTTTTTTGTTTGCTTTTCAATTCACAACATATTCCTTTTGTGGATGACGTACGTCAGAGGTCGCAAACGGGTTTTGATTCCTTACCCGTACCCGGCCGCACCAGTGTCGCAAATGGCTACCCGTACCCGACCAGGTACGGGTAGCCGTTCCCTACCCGTACCCTACCCAAAATGAGTGACAAACGGTGACTCACCAGTGACTCACGGCCTACCCGTACCCGTACCCTACCCGAAATGAGTGACAAACGGTGACTCACCGGTGACTCACGGCCTACCCGTACCCGTACCCGGGTATCGGGTAGGGTACGGGTATCGGGTACCCGGTTGCGACCTCTGACGTACGTTTGTTACAAACACAACTCCCATCTCTGTGAACGAAGACTCTGGCACTTGTGCTCGAGGTGTGAGGTCTTTATTTCACGGCATGGGTCCACACCTTCATCCTCGCTGTCTTATGGTTGCGATTGTTCGACTTGCATCCCACTGGGAGCCTTGCACACAGCGTTGATGAGATACGGTGCTTTTTCCAGGACGACTTTGCCGTTTTTTTCCCGGAGTTTTCTGTTTGCGCGTAGTCACTTTACCCGGCCGGGTAGCCGGGTATCGGGTAGGGTACGGGTATCGGGTATCGGGTATCGGGTAGGGTACGGGTATCGGGTATCGGGTAGGGTACGGGTATCGGGTACCCGGTTGCGTTGGGAAATGAGTGACAAACGGTGACTCACCAGTGACTCACGGCCTACCCGTACCCGGCCGCACCAGGGTCGCAAACGGGTACCCGTACCCGGCCGTACCCGTACCCGTACCCTATCTGGCCGGGTACGGGTAGGGTACGGGTATCGGGTACCCGACTGCGACCTCTGGGATGAAGCCACGTTGCAGGCGCGGGTGGGTTGATTCTAGGAACTTGAATTGTAAGAAGAGACAAGACGTTGGGAAATGAGTGACAAACGGTGACTCACCAGTGACTCACGGCCTACCCGTACCCGGCCGCACCAAGGTCGCAAACGACTACCCGTACCCAGCCGGGTACGGGTAGTCGGGTACGGGTAGGGTACGGGTATCGGGTAGGGTACGGGTATCGGGTAGGGTACGGGTATTGGGTATCGGGTAGGGTACGGGTATCGGGTAGGGTACGGGTATCGGGTATCGGGTAGGGTACGGGTATCAGGTAGGGTACGGGTATCGGGTAGGGTACGGGTATCGGGTATCGGGTAGGGTACGGGTATCGGGTAGGGTACGGGTATCGGGTATCGGGTAGGGTACGGGTATCGGGTAGGGTACGGGTATCGGGTAGGGTACGGGTATCGGGTAGGGTACGGGTATCGGGTAGGGTACGGGTATCGGGTAGGGTATGGGTATCGGGTAGTCGGGTACGGGTATCGGGTAGGGTACGGGTATCGGGTATCGGGTAGGGTACGGGTATCGGGTAGGGTACGGGTATCGGTAGGGTACGGTATCGGGTAGGGTACGGGTATCGGGTAGGGTACGGGTATCGGGTATCGGGTAGGGTACGGGTATCGGGTAGGGTACGGGTATCGGGTATCGGGTAGGGTACGGGTATCGGGTAGGGTACGGGTATCGGGTAGGGTACGGGTAGCGGGTATCGGGTAGGGTACGGGTATCGGGTATCGGGTAGGGTACGGGTATCGGGTAGGGTACGGGGATCGGGTAGGGTACGGGTATCGGGTAGGGTACGGGTATCGGGTAGGGTATGGGTATCGGGTAGTCGGGTACGGGTATCGGGTAGGGTACGGGTATCGGGTATCGGGTAGGGTACGGGTATCGGGTAGGGTACGGGTATCGGTAGGGTACGGGTATCGGGTAGGGTACGGGTATCGGGTAGGGTACGGGTATCGGGTAGGGTACGGGTATCGGGTATCGGGTAGGGTACGGGTATCGGGTAGGGTACGGGTATCGGGTATCAGGTAGGGTACGGGTATCGGGTAGGGTACGGGTATCGGGTAGGGTACGGGTATCGGGTAGGGTACGGGTATCGGGTAGGGTACGGGTATCGGGTAGGGTACGGGTATCGGGTATCGGGTAGGGTACGGGTATCGGGTAGGGTACGGGTATCGGGTATCAGGTAGGGTACGGGTATCGGGTAGGGTACGGGTATCGGGTAGGGTACGGGTATCGGGTAGGGTACGGGTATCGGGTAGGGTACGGGTATCGGGTACCCGACTGCGACCTCTGGCGCTGGTCTAACCGTCCCACCTGACGCTCACCCGACCCTGTTGCTCTCTTTTACACCTTTTGAATGTTCCCCGTTCCCTAAGCAGTCGGAGCGCGGAGTGACGGCGCTGCCTTCTTGACTACTCTGTCCCAGGGACCGTGTGGGACTGTCACCGCACACCTGTCACGCGTTTCTCTTTCAATCCAGGGACGAGTTGGAATCTGTCAAAGCGCATCACCAGGCACAGCTCGGAGCCTACGTACAGACATGCACAAACTTGGTAATACAAAACGCAAAACAGTATGTTTAGTATGCTGATGATAATATGTAGTTTATACTTTAGTTGCTTACGTGGTGGTTTTAGTTACTGCAGCTACATACTATTAACACTCCTTTCTCTTTATTAATGCTACCCCTATCCCCTCCCTTGGATGCTGCTAATCCTGCATAATGCACGGGCACGAGTAGTACTAATCACATACCTGCATTTCCCATATCCCCTCCCTTTGATGCTGCTAATCCTGCATAATGCACGGGCATAAGTAGTACTAATCACATACCTGCATTTCCCATATCCCCTCCCTTTGATGCTGCTAATCCTGCATAACGCACGGGCATGAGTAGTACTAATCACATACCTGCATTTCCCATATCCCCTCCCTTTGATGCTGCTAATCCTGCATAATGCACGGGCACAAGTAGTACTAATCACATACCTGCATTTCCCATATCCCCTCCCTTGGATGCTGCTAATCCTGCATAATGCACGGGCATAAGTAGTACTAATCACATACCTGCATTTCCCATATCCCCTCCCTTTGATGCTGCTAATCCTGCATAATGCACGGGCATAAGTAGTACTAATCACATACCTGCATTTCCCATAAATATGCTAAATTCCTCTTGATATGCAAATTCTATTGTCAAGGCGCTCCCTTCCCCCCCCCCCTTCCAACCCAGCTTATAAACATGCTCCAAGCTCGTGTGCTGTTTCATTCAGACGCTGTCGCCTCGACAGACCTGGTTTTCACCTGAGGACGGCTGCTTGTGTTGCTTCCGAAACGTCGTGAATTTTAAATTTTGTTTTATTTTACTTTCATTTTACTTTCATTTTACTTTCATTAATTAAAAATTGTCTTACCTACGTGACTTTACCGAAAAAACCGAAGGTCACTGACCAGCACGTCCGTTGCGCGTGAACTGCGACAGGTTCGCGAGCTGGGCAAGCGACGGGAGGTACTCTGCGAGAAGGTCGGCTGCTATGAAAACAAGGTGAGTGCCAAGCCGTTTCAATGGCAATGCTTCTCTAATCACACTGGCCAATGGCAATGCTTCTCTAATCACACTGGTCAATGGCAGTGCCTCTCTAATCACACTGGTCAATGGCAGTGCTTCTCTAATCACACTGGTCAATGGCAGTGCCTCTCTAATCACACTGGTCAATGGCAGTGCCTCTCTAATCACACTGGTCAATGGCAGTGCCTCTCTAATCACACTGGTCAATGGCAGTGCTTCTCTAACTACACTGGTCAATGGCAGTGCGTCTCTAACTACACTGGCCAATGGCAGTGCCTCTCTAACTACACTGGTCAATGGCAGTGCCTCTCTAATCACACTGGTCAATGGCAGTGCCTCTCTAATCACACTGGTCAATGGCAGTGCTTCTCTAACTACACTGGTCAATGGCAGTGCCTCTCTAACTACACTGGTCAATGGCAGTGCCTCTCTAACTACACTGGTCAATGGCAGTGCCTCTCTAACTACACTGGCCAATGGCAGTGCCTCTCTAACTACACTGGTCAATGGCAGTGCCTCTCTAACTACACTGGTCAATGGCAGTGCCTCTCTAACTACACTGGTCAATGGCAGTGCCTCTCTAACTACACTGGCCAATGGCAGTGCCTCTCTAACTACACTGGCCAATGGCAGTGCCTCTCTAACTACACTGGTCAATGGCAGTGCCTCTCTAATCACACTGGTCAATGGCAGTGCTTCTCTAATCACACTGGTCAATGGCAATGCTTCTCTAATCACACTGGTCAATGGCAGTGCCTCTCTAATCACACTGGTCAATGGCAGTGCTTCTCTAATCACACTGGTCAATGGCAATGCTTCTCTGATCACACTGGTCAATGGCAGTGCCTCTCTAATCACACTGGTCAATGGCAGTGCTTCTCTAATCACACTGGTCAATGGCAATGCTTCTCTGATCACACTGGTCAATGGCAGTGCCTCTCTAATCACACTGGTCAATGGCAGTGCGTCTCTAACTACACTGGTCAATGGCAGTGCCTCTCTAACTACACTGGTCAATGGCAGTGCCTCTCTAACTACACTGGCCAATGGCAGTGCCTCTCTAACTACACTGGCCAATGGCAGTGCCTCTCTAACTACACTGGCCAATGGCAGTGCCTCTCTAACTACACTGGTCAATGGCAGTGTGTCTCTAACTACACTGGTCAATGGCAGTGCCTCTCTAACTACACTGGCCAATGGCAGTGCCTCTCTAACTACACTGGCCAATGGCAGTGCGTCTCTAACTACACTGGTCAATGGCAGTGTGTCTCTAACTACACTGGTCAATGGCAGTGTGTCTCTAACTACACTGGTCAATGGCAGTGTGTCTCTAACTACACTGGTCAATGGCAGTGTGTCTCTAACTACACTGGTCAATGGCAGTGCCTCTCTAACTACACTGGTCAATGGCAGTGCCTCTCTAACTACACTGGTCAATGGCAGTGCCTCTCTAACTACACTGGTCAATGGCAGTGCCTCTCTAACTACACTGGTCAATGGCAGTGCCTCTCTAACTACACTGGTCAATGGCAGTGCCTCTCTAACTACACTGGTCAATGGCAGTGCCTCTCTAACTACACTGGCCAATGGCAGTGCCTCTCTAACTACACTGGTCAATGGCAGTGTCTCTCTAATGACACTGGTCAATGGCAGTGCTTCTCTAATCACACTGGTCAATGGCAATGCTTCTCTAATCACACTGGCCAATGGCAGTGCTTCTCTAATCACACTGGCCAATGGCAGTGCTTCTCTAATCACACTGGTCAATGGCAGTGCCTCTCTAATCACACTGGTCAATGGCAGTGCTTCTCTAATCACACTGGTCAATGGCAGTGCCTCTCTAACTACACTGGTCAATGGCAGTGCCTCTCTAACTACACTGGTCAATGGCAATGCTTCTCTAATCACACTGGTCAATGGCAGTGCATCTCTAATTACACTGGTCAATGGCAATGCTTCTCTAATCACACTGGTCAATGGCAGTGCATCTCTAATTACACTGGTCAATGGCAGTGCCTCTCTAACTACACTGGTCAATGGCAGTGCCTCTCTAACTACACTGGTCAATGGCAGTGCCTCTCTAACTACACTGGTCAATGGCAGTGCATCTCTAATTACACTGGTCAATGGCAGTGCATCTCTAATTACACTGGTCAATGGCAGTGCCTCTCTAACTACACTGGCCAATGGCAGTGTCTCTCTAACTACACTGGCCAATGGCAGTGCTTCTCTAACTACACTGGTCAATGGCAGTGCGTCTCTAACTACACTGGCCAATGGCAGTGCCTCTCTAACTACACTGGTCAATGGCAGTGCCTCTCTAACTACACTGGTCAATGGCAGTGCCTCTCTAACTACACTGGTCAATGGCAGTGTCTCTCTAATGACACTGGCCAATGGCAATGTACCTCTAACTACACTGGCCAATGGCAGTGCATCTCTAACTACACTGGCCAATGGCAGTGTCTCTCTAATGACACTGGTCAATGGCAATGCATCTCTAATCACACTGGTCAATGGCAGTGCCTCTCTAATTACACTGGTCAACACACTTTGTCTGGCGTAAGGTATTCCAACGGTTCTACATTTGAAGCTTTCGTGACTGCAATGATTCATATTCTTAGGTTTTTTCGGTAAAGTCACTGTGTAGGTAAAAACACATTAAAAAGCTTGTGTTGCCTCCGAAACGTCGTGATTTTATTTTACTTTTTAATGTTTTTTACCTACGTGACTTTACCGAAAAACCTACGAATATGTATTCCAACGGTGTGAAGGTAATTTTGTGGAGCTGCTGATTCCGGCATAGGTTGTCGTCTATCACGTCAGGTGTGTGAGATATCAAATGTCGCATTTTCGATAAAAACTGCGGAAGAAAAATATTAAATAAATGTGGATATGAATTTCGATGTAAAGCTTCTTTCGTGACTGCAGGGATTCATCTTCTTGGTTCTTTCGGTAAAGTCACGTAGAAGGGAAGTAATAAAATAATAAAAATAAAACATTTAATAATTCTCACGACGTTTCGGCCACAACGCAAGCAGCCGTCCTCAGGTGAAGAGCAGGTCTGTCGGGGAGACAGCGTCTGAATGAAACAGCACACGCGCTTGGAGCATATATATATGTAGTACTAATCACATTCCTAAATTTCCCATAAATATGCTGAATTCCTCTTGATATGCAAATTATTTTGTCGAAGCGCCCTTTCCTCCCCTCCCAACGCAGCTTATATATACGCTCCAAGCTCGTGTGCTGTTTCATTCAGACGCTGTCTCCCCGACAGACCTGTTCTTCACCTGAGGACGGCTGCTTGCGTTGTGGCCGAAACGTCGTGAGAATTATTTTATTATGTTTTATTTTTATTATTTTATTTTTTCCCTTCTACGTGACGACTTTACCGAAAGAACCAAGAAAATGTGGATATCTAGATAAAATATATTATAAACACACGAGCCTAAAAATACAGCACCGTATTTTAACACTAAAGCAGTCACTGACTCGCAACAGAGTTAATTTCGGGTAAAACCGAAGCAGTCTTTATCGTGACTGCAATGTTCGTCGTGCCCGTGCTTGCTTGACGTTGCAGTACAAGGATTTGGGGTCTGAAGTCGACTCGCTAAAGCGACAGGGCGAACAAGCACGCAGCCACGAGAGCGCCGAGTTAGCGGACTACATGGAGCAGATCAGACGCCTGGAGGAGGTTTGCGAAACGAACTTGACCGATGTTGTTTACAAAGGCTCAGCCTTTGTTATGCAGTCTACTCTTAGTCTCAAGCCTCACCTTACCATATTAATAACAAGTATAACCCGTAAAAACAAAGTTGTTCACTCTAAATCCTTTATATGCGTGGCGGCTAGAGTCCTCTCGTCCTCTGGCTTGAGATGGCTGCCACCTATGGGTCAGTATTAAGCAATTGGTAATTAAATATTTTATTTGTTTTCCCTAAACCAGGGGTCGGCAACCAAAATAACAAGAAGAGCCATTTCTTTCCAATTCGGTACAAAATTCAGTATTTCAAGAGCCGCAATGCATCTGAGTACATACTGTACATACGTACTCATCGTCAAGAAGCAGCCCGTAAAGAGCCGCATGCGGCTCCGGAGCCGTAGGTTGCCGACCCCTGCCCTAAACAGTTTAAAATTTTGGGAAAAAAATTTTCACGAACATTAATTGTCTCGCACAACGAGTCTGTGTGCAAAATGTCAGCTCGATTGGATCACGGGAAGTGGGTTAAAAAACGACCGAAAGATTTGCACGGTCGTAAGCAAGCAAGCAAGCACGCAATCAAGCAAGCGAACTTAATATAAAGGATTTAAAAAGTATGCGGCCCTTGCACCACCACCTTCTCCAACCATTTTATAAACGGAGTGGTAGCTCTTGCAATCTCTCGTTTACTTGATACGGCTGTCGTGGCTGTGACGGTACCTCCTGAAGACGGAAGCTTGTGTTGCCTCCGAAACGTCGTGATTTTTATTTTATTTTATTTAGTTTTTTAATGTTTTTTAATGTTTTTACCTACGTGACTATACCGAAAAAACCTGAGAATATGGATCATTTCAGTCACGAAAGCTTCAAATCTAGATGGGTTTCTGTGTGAGTCTGTGGGTTTCTGTGTGAGTCTATAGGTTTATGTGTGAGTCTATGGGTCTCTGTGTGAGTCTATGGGTTTCTGTGTGAGTCTATGGGTTTATGTGTGAGTCTATGGGTCTCTGTGTGAGTCTATGGGTTTCTGTGTGAGTCTATGGGTTTCTGTGTGAGTCTATGGGTTTCTGTGTGAGTCTATGGGTTTCTGTGCGAGTCTATGGGTTTCTGTGTGAGTCTATGGGTTTCTGTGTGAGTCTGTGGATCTCTGTGTGAGTCTGTGGATCTCTGTGTGAGTCTATGGGTTTCTTACCCTTCTATCTGGCAACAAAACTGACACCTTTTTTACAAGGAGTCATGTTTGCATTGACCACAATACCTGCAGTCATAATGAAAAAAAAAAACAGAACTCTGATAATGTGTGCACTGTCCTTGAAGTTGATTGGTCCACACCCGAGACAGCTTTCCTTAGAGCCTAGTCTCACATGGTCCTTGAAGTTGATTGGTCCACACCCGAGACAGCTTTCCTTAGAGCCTAGTCTCACATGGTCCTTGAAGTTGATTGGTCCACACCCGAGACAGCTTTCCTTAGAGCCTAGTCTCACATGGTCCTTGAAGTTGATTGGTCCACACCCGAGACAGCTTTCCTTAGAGCCTAGTCTCACATGGTCCTTGAAGTTGATTGGTCCACACCCGAGACAGCTTTCCTTAGAGCCTAGTCTCACATGGTCCTTGAAGTTGATTGGTCCACACCCGAGACAGCTTTCCTTAGAGCCTAGTCTCACATGGTCCTTGAAGTTGATTGGTCCACACCCGAGACAGCTTTCCTTAGAGCCTAGTCTCACATGGTCCTTGAAGTTGATTGGTCCACACCCGAGACAGCTTTCCTTAGAGCCCAGTCTCACATGGTGTTGGACCAGATGACGCCAGATAAAAGGGTAAAAAACCAATGATCATATTTTGCTACTGGCAAAGAGAGGTTCCAAAGGATCCCTCGTATAAAGGTGTCAGTTTTGTTGCCACATAAAAGGGTAAAGACCTATTAGTATAACGACGAGGGTTATTGCGTGTTATTGCGTGCGCGTGCTAAACCGTGAGTTATAAAAGTACGCTAGAGTCTAATTGTGCTGTGGCAGATGTTACGTTTTTATACGTGGAGCGTTAACTTGCATCACCGTTATTAAAAAAAAGGCAGCAAAAGATTTTCTTTCTTGGCACTAGCAATGAATTTCTTAACCGAGTGAAACTCCGAGGCACGTTGTGTGTGTGTGTGTGTGACCGTTGTTTTCCCCCCCTTCGTCCAGGCACAATCCCGCAGGATTGCAGCCGAGATTGAGAACGTGAAAAGCGGTGTAGAGCGAGCGACACAGCTGAAGATCACAGAAATGAGTGCATTGGTGGAAGAGTACAAGGTGCCTTGCGGAAGTTGGCACCTCATCCCTGAGTCCGCCTCGCGTGTTTAAGCTGCTTCAGAATAACTGCAGATCTTCTTGGTTCTTGCGGTAAAGTCACGTAGAATGGAAATAATACAATAATAAAAATCTAACTTAATACAAGTAAACCCGTAAAAACAAAGTTTTTCACTCTAAATCCTTTATATGCGTGGCGGCTAGAGTCCTCTCGTCCTCTGGCTTGAGATGACTGCAATCTATGGGTCAGATGATTGTCTGCCAGTATTAAGCAATTGGTAATTAAATATTTAATTAGTTTTCCCTAAACAGTGTAACATTTTGGAAACATTTTTAACGAAAATTAATTGTCACACACAACGAGTCTGTGTGGAAAATGTCAGCTCGATTGGATCACGGGAAGTGGGTTAAAAAACGACCGAAAGATTTGCACGGTCGTAAGCAAGCAAGCACTCAAGCAAGCAAGTGAACTTAATATAAATGATTTTAAAATACAATTCTCACGACGTTTCGGCCACAACGCCAGCAGCCGTTTTATTATTTCCCTTCTACGTGACTTTACCGAAAGAACCAAGAAGATGAATCCCTGCAGTCACGAAAGCTTTAAATCGAAATTGAAATGTGTTGGATTTCTGTGAATATACACACAGATACATTGGTGTGAATGTTCAAATGTATTTATTTTTGGGTTTATTTCTTTTTAGTGGCAAGAATTTTGAAGCATCGTCTTTCCGTCCCTACGATGTTCGCGAAATATATTGAAACACAAATTGGAACGTAGCGAAACATCGAGCTCGACGTACCGCCTCGGTGTTTGTGCGAGTTGGTAAACGCCGTTCAAATGTTTTGCATCTTTTTGTTTGCGATCCTCACGTGAAGTGCGACTGTGACCAGCAGCTGGAAGATAAAGGCAACGACTGTTCTTCTCTCGAACGAAAATATCAAGATGCGCTTGAAAATCTGTATACGGTGGTAAGTTTATCTTTTTTAAATCATTTATATTAAGTTCGCTTGCTTGCTTGCTTGCTTGCTTGCGTGCTTGCTTGCTTGCTTGCGTGCTTGCGTGCTTGCTTGCTTGCTTGCTTGCTTGCGTGCTTGCTTGCTTGCGTGCTTGCGTGCTTGCTTGCTTAGGACCGTGCAAATCTTTCGGTCGTTTTTTAACCCACTTCCCGTGATCCAATCGAGCTGACATTTTGCACACAGACTCGTTGTGCGAGACAATTAATGTTCGTGAAAAGTTTTTTCCAAAATGTTACACTGTTTAGGGAAAACAAATTAAATATTTAATTAGCAATTGTTTAATACTGGCAGACAATCATCTGACCCATAGGTGGCAGCCATCTCAAGCCAGAGGACGAGAGGACTCTAGCCGCCACGCATATAAAGGATTTAGAGTGAAAAACTTTGTTTTTACGGGTTATACTTGTTATTAGTTTTTTTCGGTAAAGTCACCGTGTAGGTAAAAAAATAAAATTAATAAAATAGTAAAATAAAATAAAAATCACGACGTTTCGGAGGCAACACAAGCTTCCATCTTCAGGTGGAACCGTCACAGCCACGACAGCCGTATCAAGCAAATGAGAGATTGCAAGAGCTACCACTCCGTTTATATAATGGTTGGAGGGGGGGCAAGGGCCAGGTACAGCACACTTGTTATTCATATGGTGAGGTGAGGTTTTATCAAGATGTCGCGATGGGCATGTTATTGTTGTTGTTACTGTTGTTGTTGTTAGTGTTGTTGTTATTGGTGTTGTTGTTATTGTTGTTGTTATTGTTGTTGTTACTGTTGTTGTTGTTAGTGTTGTTGTTATTGTTGTTGCAGCTGCCGTGAATAATCCAAATTGATTCTAGATTTGAAACTTTCGTGACTGCAAGGATTCATCTTCTTGGTTCTTTCGGTAAAGTCACCGTGTAGGTAAAAAATGAAAGTAAAATTAATAAAAAATAAAAAAATCACGACGTTTCGGAGGCAACACAAGCCTTCCGTCTTCATGTGGAACCGTCACAGCCACGACAGCCGTATCAAGTAGATGAGAGATTGCAAGAGCTACCACTCCGTATATATAATGGTTGAAAAAAACCTCAGAATATGAATCCTTGCAGTCACGAAAGCTTCAAATCTAGAATGTTCCATTGGTAAATCATGATTGAGAACCGTCACGCTCACGTTCGCGCTCACAATCCCCGACGATGTTACGCAGGCGAGCAACGTTGCCAAGTCACACGGCAAAACTGACACCTTTTGGCGTCATCTGGTCAAACCCATGTGAGACTAGGCTCTAAGGAAAGCTGTCTCGGGTGTGGACCAATGAACTTCAAGGACAGTGCATACATTATTAGAGTTGTGTTTTTTGTTTGCATTACGGCCGCAGGTATTGTGGTCAATGCAAACATGACTCCTTGTAGAAAGGTGTCAGTTTTGTTGCCAGATGGAAGGGTAAAAAAACAATCACGGCAACGTTTGTGTTTGTTGGCAACAGAACGAGGCTCAATGTGATGAAATGAGAGCAGAAATGGAAAAGTTGAAAGAAGCATTGAAGCAGAAGGTAACTTGTAACCGCAGTTGGACAAACAGACACGGAGACACACACAGGGAGACATTCGTAGAGACACACAGGCAGACACGGAGACACACACAGGGAGACATTCGTAGAGACACACAGGCAGACACGGAGACACACACTGGGAGACACTCGTAGAGACACACAGGCAGACACGGAGACACACACAGGGAGACACTCGTAGAGACACACAGGCAGACACGGAGACACACACAGGGAGACACTCGTAGAGACACACAGGCAGACACGGAGACACACACAGGGAGACACTCGTAGAGACACAGGGAGACACGGAGACACACAGGGAGACACTCGTAGAGACACAGGCAGACACGGAGACACACACAGGGAGACACTCGTAGAGACACAGGCAGACACGGAGACACACACAGGGAGACACTCGTAGAGACACACAGGCAGACACGGAGACACACACAGGGAGACACTCGTAGAGACACAGGGAGACACGGAGACACACACAGGGAGACACTCGTAGAGACACAGGCAGACACGGAGACACACACAGGCAGACACGGAGACACACACAGGGAGACACTCGCTGAGACACACAGGCAGACACGGATACAGCCAAAGAGACAGACATGGAGACGTGCTTTTCCCATGATAATGCGGGTAGCCTATAACAGGCGTGTTATTCATGTCCTCTCCCCGAAAGCCAGGAGTGGAAATTCCACATTCTTATGACAGGGGCCCCCAGACTCGGATTTCAACTCGACACTTTTCGTTGAAAATCCACGTGGTCTAGTGTCTGCGACATCTCTGCAACACACAAATGAAATTGATTATCTATTCAGACTCATGTTTCGTTGTGGAACCTTATGGGTAATAATGTCTGTGTACACAGACCTCCATTCTGTGTTTACACATATACACACACATCATTTGTTTTTGCCATCAGCCTTTTGGCATTGCAGACCAATATTATTCAGCAGTATTCATTCAAGCCGCCGAGATCTGGACCGGTTTTTACCTCCCGGGTCTTAGTCATCAGTCAGGCTCGTTCAATAAACCCCGCTGGGCTAAGCGCTGACGTTAGGTGTTTGCGATCAGCACGGCACTCCCGCAAGCCTGCAGGCCTCACTGGGGGATCTCTGTTTGTGTGTCCGTGTGATCTGCAAGACTCCACCTTGGCTCGCACCGGTAACAGTGGCCAAGTCGCCTTACAAGGGCGGCATTCTCAAGCCCCTCGCCACGGGGGAAGTCGTGAAGAGAAGGGGAAAGGTTTGGTATCTGTCCGACTCCGAGGGCTCAGAGGGCTCAGAGATCATGGATTTTACGGTGAGTAATGCGACTGCTTTATACATAACGTGGTTGAGCAATAGGGAGCCATCCCTTGACCGCACCCGGGCATCGATCAGCCTCCCATTGTATCTGTAGCAGATGGGAATTCTTCCGGTACAGGCATTGAAGGCTCGACGAACTACGTGGTCCAATGTTAAAGATGTGGTTCCAGACATACAGTACCCTGGCGTCTACAAACTAAGTTGCCTCTGTGGTAGCAGTTACATTGGAGAAACCAAACGACATGTCTCGGACCGCATCCGTGAACATAAATCAGATTTGAAACACGGTAGGACAAACACCTCAGCCGTGGCAGATCACTGTTACAATTCAGTGGGCTCACATGACATTGACTTCTCCAAGACAGAGGTTCTCTGCAAGCCATCTGGCTATCATGAGAGATTCGTTCATGAGGCGATCCACATATACAAACACAGAGACAATTTCAACCGAGAAGATGCATTCTGGCTTAGCAATCATTGGAAGGACGTAATAAACCATTTCGGATCTTAACTGATTGTGTTTACGGTGACTTTCAGAGCGCGTTCCACTCACTGGCATTGTATTCTCCGCAGGGAATGGATTCTTTGCTCTGCTGAATTGACATATTTTGTTGCTTCCTCTTAGTTGTTGTTGTTGTTGGGGGGGGTTGTTGTTGTTGGGGGGGGGGGTTGTTGTTGTTGGGGGGGGGGGTTGTTGTTGTTGTTGGGGGGGGTTGTTGTTGGGGGGGGGTTGTTGTTGGGGGGGGGGGGGGGGGGGTTGTTGTTGGGGGGGGTTGTTGTTGTTGGCGCTTCTTGAGGAGATAGTCTCGGAAGTACTTCTCAACAACAACCCCCCCTAACAACAACAACAACCCCCCCCCAACAACAACAACAACCCCCCCCCCAACAACAACAACAACCCCCCCCAACAACAACAACCCCCCCCCCAACAACAACAACAACCCCCCCCAACAACAACAACAACCCCCCCCAACAACAACAACAACCCCCCCCCCAACAACAACAACAACCCCCCCCCAACAACAACAACAACCCCCCCCAACAACAACAACAACCCCCCCCCAACAACGGTCAACGGTACAGTGTATAATAACAAATAGTTTTAAAAATGTATATGCTTAATACAATGTACAAAGTAATATATAGTATCGTAATTGTATAGTGAATATACAGCAGTGTGATACACATTAGGGTGGGTAGAATAATACATAGTGTAATATTACAATGGTTTATAGCAATACAGTATATAATTTAACGTTTGGGTTTGTCTATGGCAGCATATAGTACGGTGTATGCTCGTGTGATGTAAGAGAATACAGTTTAGATGGAAGCATATTATATTTTTTTACGACGTAGAATTGGAATGTATTACTTACTGTTAGTAACTCAGCTTATTGTAGAGTATATTTAGTATACTGATGGTGCTATGTAGTTTATACTTTAGTTGTTTACGTGGTGGTTTAGTTTCTGCAGCTACATACTATTAACACTCCTTCCCTTCATTAATGCTACCCCTATCCCCTCCCTGTGATGCTGCTAATCCTGCATCATGCACAGACACAAGTAGTACTAATCACATACCTGCGTTTCCCATATCCCCTCCCTTGGATGCTGCTAATCCTGCATAATGCACGGACATAAGTAGTACTAATCACATACCTGCATTTCCCATATCCCCTCCCTTGGATGCTGCTAATCCTGCATAATGCACGGACACAAGTAGTACTAATCACATACCTGCGTTTCCCATATCCCCTCCCTTGGATGCTGCTAATCCTGCATAATGCACGGACATAAGTAGTACTAATCACATACCTGCATTTCCCATATCCCCTCCCTTTGATGCTGCTAATCCTGCATAATGCACGGACACAAGTAGTACTAATCACATACCTGCATTTCCCATATCCCCTCCCTTGGATGCTGCTAATCCTGCATAATGCACGGGCATAAGTAGTACTAATCACATACCTGCATTTCCCATATCCCCTCCCTTGGATGCTGCTAATCCTGCATAATGCACGGACACAAGTAGTACTAATCACATACCTGCATTTCCCATATCCCCTCCCTTTGATGCTGCTAATCCTGCATAATGCACGGGCACAAGTAGTACTAATCACATACCTGCATTTCCCATATCCCCTCCCTTGGATGCTGCTAATCCTGCATAATGCACGGGCATAAGTAGTACTAATCACATACCTGCATTTCCCATATCCCCTCCCTTGGATGCTGCTAATCCTGCATAATGCACGGGACACAAGTAGTACTAATCACATACCTGCATTTCCCATATCCCCTCCCTTGGATGCTGCTAATCCTGCATAATGCACGGACACAAGTAGTACTAATCACATACCTGCATTTCCCATATCCCCTCCCTTGGATGCTGCTAATCCTGCATAATGCACGGGCATAAGTAGTACTAATCACATACCTGCATTTCCCATATCCCCTCCCTTGGATGCTGCTAATCCTGCATAATGCACGGGCATAAGTAGTACTAATCACATACCTGCATTTCCCATATCCCCTCCCTTGGATGCTGCTAATCCTGCATAATGCACGGGCATAAGTAGTACTAATCACATACCTGCATTTCCCATATCCCCTCCCTTTGATGCTGCTAATCCTGCATAATGCACGGGCACAAGTAGTACTAATCACATACCTGCATTTCCCATATCCCCTCCCTTGGATGCTGCTAATCCTGCATAATGCACGGACATAAGTAGTACTAATCACATACCTGCATTTCCCATATCCCCTCCCTTGGATGCTGCTAATCCTGCATAATGCACGGACATAAGTAGTACTAATCACATACCTGCATTTCCCATATCCCCTCCCTTGGATGCTGCTAATCCTGCATAATGCACGGGCATAAGTAGTACTAATCACATACCTGCATTTCCCATATCCCCTCCCTTGGATGCTGCTAATCCTGCATAATGCACGGACACAAGTAGTACTAATCACATACCTGCATTTCCCATATCCCCTCCCTTGGATGCTGCTAATCCTGCATAATGCACGGACACAAGTAGTACTAATCACATACCTGCATTTCCCATATCCCCTCCCTTGATGCTGCTAATCCTGCATAATGCACGGGCATAAGTAGTACTAATCACATACCTGCATTTCCCATATCCCCTCCCTTGGATGCTGCTAATCCTGCATAATGCACGGACACAAGTAGTACTAATCACATACCTGCATTTCCCATATCCCCTCCCTTGATGCTGCTAATCCTGCATAATGCACGGGCATAAGTAGTACTAATCACATACCTGCATTTCCCATATCCCCTCCCTGTGATGCTGCTAATCCTGCATAATGCACGGGCATGAGTAGTACTAATCACATACCTGCATTTCCCATATCCCCTCCCTTTGATGCTGCTAATCCTGCATAATGCACGGGCATAAGTAGTACTAATCACATACCTGCATTTCCCATATCCCCTCCCTTTGATGCTGCTAATCCTGCATAATGCAAGGGCATGAGTAGTACTAATCACATACCTGCATTTCCCATAAATATGCTAAATTCCTCTTGATATGCAAATTCTATTGTCAAGGCGCTCCCTTCCCCCCCCCCCTTCCAACCCAGCTTATAAACATGCTCCAAGCTCGTGTGCTGTTTCATTCAGATGCCGTCGCCCCGACAGACCTGGTCTTCACCTGAGGACAGCTACTTGCGTTGTGGCCGAAACGTCGTGAGAATTATTTTATTATGTTTTATTTTTATTATTTTATTACTTCCCTTCTACGTGATTTTACCGAAAGAACCAAGAAGATTAATTAAACTACTTAAAGTTTAGGGATGGGAAAACGAAATAGTCTATTCCCACCGCGGGGCTTAGGGCGTGCCGGCTGGCAAATTATTTCGGCCTTAAACCCCATCGTCCGGGAGCCAAATCCCTCGCAAGCGCGCGGAGACTTTTATATATAAAGAATCAAATCATTTGTTTTTGCCATCAGCCTTTTGGCATTGCAGACCAATATTATACCGGTAGGAACGAAGTGAACCAGCCTACAATAGATTATATCGTCCGTCCGGTCCGATTAGGTGTAGCAACATCGCCCCCCTACTGCAAACACTTGGCAGGACCCTACAAAAACCTTTAGACTCAGTGAGGCTTTCCTGGCTAAACAAGTGTAACATTCCCTTATAATTCCTGAGATCGTTTTTAATTAAAACATTTCAATTAACAATTAACTCACAGCGGCCTAAAGCCTACAGCTAGGCCTAAAGCCTAGAACTAGGCCTCAAACTCTCCCTTCGTATCGTACCCCCGCCATTTCATTTTATTATCGCCATTCATTTGTTCGTTCCTACCAGCCCAACCCGCAGGGACCTGTTTCAGCAGTATTCATTCAAGCCGCCAAGATCTGGACCGGTTTTTAAATCCTTTATATTAAGTTCGCTTGCTTGCGTGCTTGCTTGCTTGCTTACGACCGTGCAAATCTTTTGGTCGTTTTTTAACCCACTTCCCGTGATCCAATCGAGCTGACATTTTCCACACAGACTCGTTGTGTGTGACAAATAATTTTCGTGAAAAAAAATTCCAAAATTTTACACTGTTTAGGGAAAACAAATTAAATATTTAATTACCAATTGCTTAATACTGGCAGACAATCATCTGACCCATAGGTGGCAGCCATCTCAAGGCCAGAGGACGAGAGGACTCGAGCCGCCACGCATATAAAGGATTTAGAGTGAAA